TAATTTCGGCCAATAATACTTCCGGCGAATTCTGGCCAAAGTGCGGCTACTACCCATATGGCCAGCCGATGGGTCGTCATGACACGCTTCTAAGATTTCTGCTCGCAGTGATGATGGTACAAGAAGCAGAAACGTCTCACCGGTGTTTACAAAGTTGCGTTTGTATAGGACGTCGTTCCGGAGGACATAGGATGTCAAACCACGGACGAAAACTCGTGGTACCTCAATTTGGTGACCCTCCAAGTATTGGATAAGCGGGCGTAGTTCCGGGTCCTCTCGCTGAAGACGAGCCATCTCCGACACATTCAGAACTCCAAGAAATGGGATGTCTTCTTCTTGGTCAGATGATGGAGACTCAACAGGTGCGCGAGACAGGCAATCCGCGTCATTGTGCTTGAGACCAGACTTGTAGACCACAGTGATGTCGTGTTCCTGCAGACGCAGGCTCCATCTAGCAAGTCTTCCTGAAGGGTCCTTGATGTTAGCCAGCCAACACAATGAATGATGATCACTGATTGCTCGAAACGGTCTGCCGTAGAGGTATGGGCGAAACTTGCTGATGGCCCATATAACTGCGAGACACTCTTTCTCTGTCGCTGAGTAATTAGACTCAGCATTCGATAGAGTGTGGCTCGCGTAAGCAATGAACTTTTCTTCTCCATTCTGCCACTGAACGAGGATGGCACCGAGGCCAACGTTACTCGCGTCGGTATGTATGTCTGTATCGGCCTCTTCGTCAAAATGGGCAAGTATTGGAGGAGACTGCAGACGGCGTCGCAACTCTGAGAAAGCCGCTTCTTGTTCCTCCCGCCAAGAGAATGGTACACTTTCTTTCGTTAGCCGTGTCAAAGGCTCAGCGACCTTAGCAATGTTTTCAACAAAGCGTCTGTAGTAGGCACATAGTCCCAGGAATCGTCTGACGGCCTTTTTGTCTTGCGGTTTCGGAAAATTTTCCACTGCTGCAATCTTTTCCGGGTCTGGGCGGACGCCTTCCGCACTAACTATGCGCCCGAGGAACCGAAGCTGACGAAATCCAAAGTGACACTTTTGCGGTTTGACGGTCAGTGCTGCCACGCGAATGGCATCCAGTACCATTCTCAGTCGGTGGATGTGCTGCTCGAAGGTAGAAGAAAAAACCACTACATCGTCGAGGTAGACGAGACACGATTGCCACTTGAGTCCGGAGAGCACAGTGTCCATCATCTTCTGGAAGGTAGCGGGAGCAGAGCACAAACCGAAAGGGAGCACTTTGAACTCGTATAGTCCGTCTGGGGTCACAAACGCCGTCTTCTCGCGATCTCGCTCGTCCACCTCGATCTGCCAATATCCACTTTTTAAGTCCAATGATGAAAAGAAGTGAGCATTGCGTAACTTATCCAAGGCATAATCGATCCGTGGAAGTGGGTAAACATCACGCTTTGTGACTTGGTTCAGCTTTCTGTAGTCAACGCAAAACCGCAGAGTGTTGTCCTTCTTTTTGACTAGCACTACCGGTGATGCCCACGGACTGTTGGATGGCTGAATTACATCATCGTTGAGCATTTCCTGCACTTGGTTCTTGATGGCTTCCCTTTCTTTTGGCGCTACTCGGTATGGGCGCTGATGCACAGGTCTCACGTGTTCTTCGACCACGATACGGTGCTCTGTGACGGGAGTACGTCCGACCTTCGACGAGGTGGAGAAGCACTCGGCGAACTCTCTGATAAGGTCAGCAATCTGTTGCTTCTGAGATGACGAGAGCTCTCTGTCAATGTCTACTGACTGGAGTACGTTATCTACTGTCTCTGAAGCTTTATCAAGAGTGCAAACATCTGAGACTTGCACGGACTCATGCAGCGATGCTATGGATGTTCCCTTCGCAACATGCTGCAGCTCATTTCGAAAGTTAGTTAATAGGACATACGCACATCCATCACGAAGGCTCACCAGGCCTCTTGCCACGCATAGTCCTTTTTCTAGTAGCAGTCCGATGTTTCCGTCAGCTAATCCGTCACAGTCACGAAGAACTTCACTCCTCACAAGAATGGTCACACTGGAACGTGGCGGCACGGTTACATCTTCGTCCACAATGCGGAGAGGTAGAACGATTGGTTTCTCCGCATGACAGAAGGCGATGGCATTCTCCGTAGAAAACGAAACCTGAGACTCTTGCAAGTCAATGACTGCATTGTTTGTTTGCAAAAAGTCCATGCCTATAATCAGTTCCCGGGAGCACTCAGGAAGCACAATAAAGCTGCCGACATACACAAATCCTCTTATTCCTATCCTTGCGGTGCATAACCCCACGGGACTAACTAAGTGCCCTCCAGCGATACGTATCTGAGGTCCGGTCCACTGAGTCATCACCTTCTTAAGCTTCTTTGCGAGAGCATTACTGACAACGGAATAGTCTGCACCAGTGTCTATTAGCGCAACGGCCTCGACGTCGTCGATCGTGACTAATATCTCGGAGGTAACGTCGCTACTACTGCACTTGACCGTCGTTGCGTAACTGCCACCGTCCTGTCGGGCTAGCAATGGAGGGGCTTCAGTTGTCAGTATATCAGCGGCCTCACCTCCAGAGGTCGCTGGCTCTAGTTTTCCCGCCGCGGGCTAGGTGAACGTGATCTTCGGAGATTTGATGACGGACGAGGACTCGGCGACCGATAGCGCATCGGTGCTGTCGAACGCGACTCCCGTCGTTGCGTGTCTTGAGCTGAATAGCGTGAAGACAAGTATTCTTCGATTTCGTAGGGCCGTTCACCGTTCTGTGGGCATGGTGCATTGACTGGAAAACCACGCAGTCCCGCTCGACGATACTGGCACGCCCGGTAAAGGTGACCTGCTTCTCCGCAGTGGTAGCAAAGGGGCCGCCGGTCTACAGTGCGCCATACATCGCTCTTACGTGGTCTTGCTTCCGACATTGGTAGCGGCGTACTCGGAGAAAACGTCGGAGGCATCACAGCAGTCGCGGCCGTCCGATTCATGCATCCGAGGTCCTGTCGTACAGCTTGCGCGTACGACAACTGAGGTGGAGGCTCCGGTTGTGCTCGCTGTAGTACCTGGGGTTGTGGTTGTAGAACCGCTTGCCGCACTTCTTCGCGCACAACGTCGGCAAGTGAGGACATCGCTGGATGAGCTTGAGTCGTGTGTATTTTCTGGAGTTCTTCCCTTACGACAGCCCTCACCATTTCACGCAAGAGATCAATGTTACTCGTGAGGGTTGTCGACGCCGTGCTAACAGATGAGACGCTTACGTCCCTGTTGTATTGGCGCGCGCGCTGCTGCAGGGTCTTTTCTATCATGGTCGCCTCTGATCTGAACTCAGCAAGAGAGCGCGGTGGATTACGCACCAGGCCTGCAAAAAGCTCCTCCTTCACTCCACGCATCAGGTGCCGCAACTTCTTTTCCTCAGCCATGTTCTGGTCGGTCCGGCGGAACAGTCGAGACATGTCTTCAATGTACATGGCGATGCTCTCGTTGTTCCGTTGGTTTCGCGTCTGAAGAGCGGCCTCTGCCTTTTCTTCGCGGTCCGTGTTTGGGTACGTAGCAAGAAACTCTCTTCGAAAGTCGTCCCACGATAATAAGGACGCTTCGTGGTTTTCGAACCACGTACGTGCAGGATCTTGCAGTGCCACGTAGACGTAGCGAAGTTTCCGGTCTGCGTTCCAACCGTTCAGTCTGGCAACGCGTTCGAAACCGTCGAGCCAGTCCTCGGAATCCTCGAAAATATCACCGTGAAATACCTCTGGTATGCGGGGCGGGTCCATGACGATATGCGAGGGAAATGAAGTCGCTTGGGTGGCCATTGCAGGGGCTCCAGAACTTACGTCCTCCGCTGGTCTCGAAGAATCGAAGAGGGCACCAAACTCGGGCTGCTCACCTCGTAGGCGACGACTTGTTCGTCGGTGTACGGGAGTCAACAGCGCTGGCTCCAACCTTCGGGGTTCTGGGCTATGTTCCCTATGCTGAGATGGGCTTGGAATCATACCCAGCACCTCCACCAGTTTGTAACGAACAAATACAGTGCCGGAAGCTAAAACAACTATTTATTAATGGCGAACTTGTGCCCGTCAACTAAAATTACAAAGGTTGTGAGCTCACTGGTCAAAACCTCGTCAACTTCTCTAGCGTCTCGCCTCGAGCTGCTCCTCGAAAAACCGCTAGCGTTCCTTGTCCAGCGCGTGATGTGGTGACACGTGCAGCCAGCGTTGCATGGCGCGTTTATAGCTTGGCGCGTTTGGCTTGTCCGTTGGTGTGGCAGAATTCAAAGCAGCAGGAAGCGGCGCAGGACTTCGGCTGGTGCCTAACAACATGCGACAATATGATTATGAGAGACGCTGTATTGAAGGGTTCTGAAAATTTCGATCACCTGGGCTTCTTCAACTTGCACCCAAATCTGAGCACGCGAGCCTACAGCATTTTCGCCTCCATCGAAAATGCAGCCGCCGCATCGAGGACGCGATCCCGCGACCTGCGGGTCATCAGCCGGGTACCCTACCACTAGACCACCACGGTGGGGCATACGCCTCTTCAATTAACTCTACCAATGTGGGAGATATATAGTGGGACTATCTTAACGCTTCAATAGTGTTCCAATTAAACTATTAGCCGGGCCCGCACGAATTCCAATTGAGCTGATCGAAAAAAACAACTTTCTCCGTCTGGGCGGCCCACACTCTGGCCCGGGGATATCGTGTAGGTCTGAACCACTGTGGCCTGAGCTTATGCAGTGCTCCTATTCGTAAAGAACTTCACGAACTCCTAACTGAGGTGGCTAGAATATCCTAACTATACGGCTTGCAGAGAACTAGACTTTCCTTATATAAGGCCGATAAAACCGTGTCGTTCTTTCGGCAATATCTTATTTAGTTAATTTTACGCAATGCGTCTCTTATGCGTTCGAATTTTGGCGGGAAGATTCTCGTTTTCCCGGTAGTGGCCTCGAGCGCACACGTTCGGGTGTGGTGTGTACTTTGGAGCGCTTTTGCGATTTCGCCCCATCCGGCCTTTCTCTTTTGGCCGCCTTCCAGCCATCGCGATCTGGCCGATCTGGCCACCATGGGCAGACCTCTTCGGGACGAAGGTAGTCATGGCATGCTGCAGGTTTGTCTCCAGGGCGTCTGCAAGTAAGTTATTTTATCTGTGCTTCTTCAGTCTTTCGCATGGCTTCGCGGAGTAGTTCGAATTTTATTCTGACCGCATTGTGCAGGTACTTGAGTTATAACGCGTATTCTTCGCGGGGCGCGAGTTATTACCGGTACATGTGTGTCGTGGTGAACCGCGTTCGCCGATTTCGATAATTGCGCAGTTTTAACTGCCCTTGCGAGAAAAGAAAATACCTGCGAGTCTTACCGGCAATGTGGAAAAGCCCGTGTTTCGTAAGAAAATTCTGTGCAACGTTAACACGTGGAAGCCCGGTGACCGGACGCTCGGGGCAAATACGGCAGTCCGATAGTACCGAGTATTAGATATGTAACTCTTATCAGGCTTTTGCTCACATGTGTTCAGCAGTAGCGTCAATGCAGGGCTGAAAGCTGAGGCATCATGCTATAGCTGTTGCATGTTTTCGTATCGATCAAGCGCAAGCAGCGATACATTTGACCTCTCTGCATCCGTGAAGCATATCTTGCCGCTGTTGCTAAGCGAAAGAGGGCATGATCTTTATTTTTACGTTAAGTTTAATAAAGACAAACTGCACGACGTCGTTTTCACTTGTATGAAGGGTCGACATGATTGACTAAAAAGTAGTTTCAGTTGTGGCGATATGTCTCATTAAAAACCGATTAACGCGTACGTACACGTAGCTGTGTGTCCGATTTCAGGATGTCGGCTACAATGATCTGAACAGTTGAAGAATGTCACAATTCGCAGTTTTTGAGGGGTTGCCTTTGTTGAAAAATTGGCATTGTGACCTCATTATTTCTGGGAGGTCAAGAGGCCGCACAGAAGCTGCCATAAACGCGTGAGTGGTGTTATCTATGTCACCGTGTGACGGGATCCTTCTGTGCTGACGAGCATTGCAGCCTTGTCATGAATATAACAGATTTAATTAACTGTCGGTTGGCAGGACTGTCTTTCTTTCAAGTATTTAATAATTTGCCTTGTTTGATCTTGTCTTGTAATTAGTCTCGTGATCATTGTTTTCTTCAAGCTTTTTCCAAGGTTATTGTTTGAAATCGTAGTCGCATTCTGCTGCACATGCTGACAGTAATGGGTTTTCTCTCTATTGCAGCTTTCCCCATAGGTGTTCGAACTTGCTATACAAATACACGGAATGCCTTAAAAATCAACAAAGATACTAAGGTTATATGTCAAGGCTTTACTGGCAAACAGGTAAGCTTCGTCAAATGGGTGCACAGCCATTCTTGCATGGTGAAGTGTGCTGTAAAACACCCCCATTCCAGTTGTGTTACACTTATGTTTATAGTGTGCGGTGTGTGTGCATGCATTTGATTAGTATTTAGTATGGTGCAGTTGTTTCCTCAAGTGTGCCATGTACATATGCAATTGCACTTGTCTAGAGCGGTGGAGCGGGTAGCTGTGGATGTCGTAGTCCACAGTTGCAGCTGCACATTAGCTACAAGCTTCGGTTCATTCTTGAATTACCCTAAAATACCGAGCACCCCCCCCCCCCCCTCACAATAAAGGATAATACGACAAGATTTGGAGAGGGAGGGGGGCCTTGCTCGGTTAGGGAACAAAATTTAAGAAGGCAGAAGAACAGCCACTAAGAATAAAAACTACACTCCTGTGGTAATGAAATGCTCAGTTGAGTACGCATGCATTAACCTTTTCCAAAGTAGTGATTGAAAGTGAACATGGCGGTAGGGGATGGTGGAAAGAGCTTGCTTTGTCATTGGCACATATTGCAAATCTAAAAAGAGAAAAAAGAAACACAGCATATCTACGGAGTGCATGATGATGAGTGGGGCAAAGCATCTATCTGTCAGTTTGTTCTTGCTTCCATCCATCCATGTGTTCGTCTGTGCAACTGTCGCCCTCCACTACGGTGTCTCTCATAATCAAATGGTGGTTTTGGGACGTTAGACCCCACAAATCAATCAATCAAATCTGTGCAACCGTCCGTGCATCCATGCATTTGTCCGTCATCTGTGCGTCCATCAGTGCATCTAACTTTCTGTCTGTCTCTCTGCCCGTCCATCCATCTTGTGAACGCTCCAAGTTTCACCATCTCGCATCATTTCATCATATAGAGCATATAGAATTACCGCCATCCAGCTGACATTCCAAGGACTAAACAAGAGGTGGCACTCAAACACTTTCTTACGGCCTGCGCTTCGTGTCTACTTCCCATCTTTCACCACCTCTAGTTCATGGCTATATACTAGTTCACTATATTAATGGCACTGCAGCGCAACCCTCGCTAAAGCTTGCTGAAGCCACGGAGGTTACGCACAGGGAGTTTGCTGTCTGCTATTCGGTCTGTTCAATTGTCCATGTGTCCATCTAGTAAACACTCTAAGTACCGCCATCTCTCATATCGCATCCCCTGTGGCACATACCTGCTCTAAATCAGGTATGTGCCACCTGTGGCTACCTACTACTACTACATACATCGGGGAAGCACGAAGACGATGCAGTGGTGGAGCAAATCTTGTCAGACTCAAGCAAATCTTCCCAGGCGCTGGAGCTGTAGCAGCCTCCTAGCAGCAGTTTTTACATGGATTGTTTCCATTAAAGGGACACTGAAGAGCAAAAAAGTTTTTCACGTATTAGTAAAGTACACTTTCACAATCCCGAAAACACCACTCTTACCGCGGCATGACACTTTGTGGGCGAGAAAATGTGCGAAAGCAAACTGCGGGTGGAGATGCCACCTCGACATTCCCACACCAGACACTACGATGTCATAAATTTTGAAGGCATCTACTGAGTCCTACGTATCTTTTAATCAATAAAATTGAAGTACATTGTCATCAGTGGGTGCCATTGACTTAGCATACGAAGTTTCAAAAAATTTCATCCTGCCAATGTGGCGAATATAAGAAAAATACATTGTGGAATATCTTATGTCAGGCACGAAATTTAAAATTCGAACTTCAACCCTGATTTTCTCTGCTAATAATGAACTTATGACATTAGTATTCTCAGAGTTCAGTTTATCAATCTAAAACAATTAATCGTTTCGTTTTAGTGTCCCTTCAATGCATGACGCATCTGAAAGGGTCTAAGCTAAGCATACTTTGTTGATTTAAAAATGTCAGCAGGCTCATATATTTAGTCCAATCAACACAGCTGTCATTTAAAGTTGTTTTGAATTGTGTAATAATACACGGAATTGTTAGCAGCTGCAATTTTGGCCAATGGGAAACTAAGTGTCTTGTTTCAGATGGATTCTTGGAAGACATGATTTTCATGCACTCCTTGTGCATGTTCCGTGGACTGATACATTTTTCTAGTGTGCACAGCTACAACTTAATGTGCAAATACGTGACTCTATAAAAGCTGTAAACTATATAACTAAGTTCCTTTTCACTTCTTTTTAAACTGCACTATTAAATTTCTGTTGCCTGCTACCTTAGGCAACAGGTGACTTAGTAAGTTGGAGACAGTACTTTTCCAGCCACACGTTCCACAGAATTCTGTCACGAATGAAGAAAGAAGATGCACACAAGCAAACAGAGCAGAAGCAGTGTGCGTTGATGTTCATAACTATGTTGCTGCCATGTTGAAAATGTTTGCTGCACAATGACATACAACAAGCCGCATCTTATTGGTAGTTCATGTTACACATGGGTGTTTTCGTGCAGCAAACATAGAATTATTGCAAGCATGGAGTGCCCAATGACCCGCCCATGCGACACACGCGTGAATGCGCAGGCAAATGTAAATTTGGCAGCGAAGGTGCCGTATTGTACTGTAGCGAACCAGTCGACGAAGTTGGTGCAATGTAAAGTTTTCCATTGGCAACTTTACATCACTTCATGGACGAGGAAAACTGCACATGAACTGGAGAGAAGTGCAAGAATTGTTTTTGATAATGGAGCATCTGAACATCATGCAACAATGGGATATTCTTAAAATGCAATTACCTCATCTCTATGCACAAATTTGGAAGCTTGTTTGGGCGTTGTAAAAAAATGAAAAAAAAAAAGAAAAGCCGGAGCCTGTTTACTAGCCTTAAAGAACCCAGCTGGTCAAAATTAGTTATCAATCCTGCAGTGTGCCTTATACTGAAAACATGCTTTGAGGTAATAATATTCCAGGTCTTTGCTTCCTTCTTTGTGTAAGAATTGTGCTGATGCTCCGCCGCGGTGGTCTAGGGGTCGCGGGATCGAATCTCGGCTGTGGGGCTGCGTTTCCGATGGAGGCGGAAATGCTGTAGGCACGTGTGCTCAGATTTGGGTGCACAGTAAAGAACCCCAGGTGGTCAAAATTTCCGGAGCCCTCCCCTACGGCGTCTCTCATAATCATATGGTGGTTTTGAGACGTTAAACCCAACATATCAATCAAGAATTATGCTGATGTAGGTAGTGACCACGGCTAAGCTCTTCTAGAAATATGCACCATCATGAGTTAAAGAGAAATAATTACATAAATATCTGTCCTTTATTTTTTTTCCTTTTTTTGCCATTAAGGATTCATTCTTGCTGTTTGATTGCCACTTTTCTTGAAGTCCTTGAACATTACCATGAATGAGCATTACTAGTGCCATTTTGTTGACATATATCATTCTTTTCATGTCCATTCCTTTTTTTTTGTCTTTTCCTTTTGTCTCCATGTGTCTTTTGTTTCATGCATTGTTTCACCATCATGTACATTGCTCATCAGTGACAGCAGCATGAGCCATGCTGTGTGAACTATGCATGTGGTCTGAGTTGCCAATTGAGTTCAGCTGTGTGGCTTGTTAATGCGGCATTACCACTACAGATGTGTGCCATTACTGATGAGTCTTGTAGGCACTAAATTTTCCTGATGCATTTGTACCATCTTAATGTGGACACTGGCTGGCCGCATTGTGGACAAAGGGGAAACATGCTAGTCCTGTATAAGATTGTCTAGTTTGTCTTGTCAGTATTCACAGAATCAGTATGAACAGGGTGTTCTTTGAAAGCAACTGAAGCCCCGCAACTCACTCATTGGTGAGGAATTTGCGGGCAAGTGTCACTTTCACCACAGCTCCACTTGTCCAACATCTTAAGTCATGCTACTTACATTGTAGCTTTGACACTCGCATGTTCTTTTCTACTTATGCACTGAGACAGAAACTGCAATTTCTATGTTATCAAGATTTTCTGGCATCTCACGCTCCATTGCTGAGGAATATAGAGTAACTTCTTTTATGTGCCTTGTCAACAAACCTGTAGTTCTTAGTCCAGTTCTGTTAAAATTGTGGCGAGTCAGAGATGCATTATTGGGAATTCCATGAAAACGAAGCTTGCATCTATATCACTCATTGCCTTCGAAATGCTTGAGATAGTATTGCCTTTTTTTTTTTTTGAAATATTGATGACTACAACAATGCATTTCATGCTGCCTGGGTTATATGATGCGAAGCTCACGTGTTATCAATGCTCTGATTCTGCAAAAATTTCAGTAATCCTGTATCTAATTCATGTGCACAGTGCACTTGAATTCAATTCAAGTGCATAGTACAGCACATAAAAGCAAATTTAAAGTGCAGTGGTTTTTCTCCATGAAGATTTATTCTTTAAAAATCCTTATCGAAATTGAAAACAGATAGTTCCGACCTTCAATTCGGCTTTTTTTGGGTATTCATAAGCTACCTTTTTTTTTCTGTTAAAAAAAAGAGAGAGAGAGAATTTAGTTTCAGTGGAATAATGTTGAAGATTTTTTATTTCTTCTGCTTAACCCCTCCCCTCACCTTTTCTTTTTCCCCCAAAAAAAAGGTAATATATTGAAAGAATAGAATGTAGTTAGCGGCCTTATTTCATGTTTGCCTTCTGTTTCTATAAAAATTGCAGGGTACATTCCACAGTAAGCAGGCACTCGAGTATGGCACACGACTTGTTGCTGGCGTGTCCCCGGGCAAAGGTGGCCAGACTCATTTGGGCCTCCCAGTCTTCAACACTGTCAAAGAGGTAAGTTGTGTGGCATACATTTACTAACGAAAGGCAGATAATGCCATGGTTGTTTTCCACTGATGTCTTGTATTGCATCCAGCAGTAGCGCAAGCAATGAAGAAAACAAACAAAGGAAAGCATTGGAACTTTATAGGACTGAATCCTGGGCGAGTTCGTGATTCGCAACTACAAAAAGCGTGAAAAACTGTGCTTGTGTGTGTGCCTTTTCTGTTTCTTGTCTCTTTTTCGTGCAGTTTTTGTAGACATTGAAACTTAGTATTTATTTAGCAATGGATATAGGATTGCAGAAGGTATTTACCTAATCAGAGCAAATGATAAGATGTGAGCTTTGCATATATAATGAATAATGAACATTTGTCCATATTTATTTAAGACAAAGAGGGGCAGATTGTAGGGAGAAAAGGCATTGAAAATTTTAAATGTATTCACATCATTTAAAGAGGTCCTGAACCACTTTTACGAGTATTCATTGGATGACCTCAGTATTAGAGCTTTATTGCCTTGCAAAATGATTGCCAAAAAGTTTCTTGAATCCGATAAGAACAAGTGGAGCAAAAAGGATTCGTTTCACGCTTTAGCCATTTTATTTCTTCTGTCGCCCCGACGAGTGTGCTGGAAGTTACATAGCGAGAGATGGCACAGAGTAAAGAATTAACATTAGTGCACGAAATGACCTTGTGCATCAATGATGAAGCATGATCCATCTCTCCAGTTTCGATTCCTGTGGGCGCCACTGTGGCTACTGTGTAATGTTAGCAGACTATGGAGTGCGCCGCCGCCATATGGTGGCACCGCGTGGCAAGAAGCGTACCTGATGCAAACGCCGCTCTTCATGTATATTGGCTGTTGGCCAGTAGCATGCTATCTGTTGTTCGAAGGCAAAGCAGCAGGCATCTGCAGCTGAAAAGAGTGAGCACAGGCTTTTCTGTGAAAAGATGGCGCCTGAAAAAATGGCATAATCGCACTTTACTTGTAAACTCTCCTTGCTGCTCATGAGTTCAAGATTTCGCTGAGCTGTTCATAGCAGTGTCTGCTTGCAACAGGATGTGTTTCTTTGCACCTAGGAGGAGAGCTTATGAACCTGTTACCTCATTTGCTGTCAATGACGTACCGGTATGTTTTTTTGCCCCCCCCCCCCCCTCTCTCTCTCACTGTGTGACTCTTGTTCCTTCACGTTCTTTACTGAGCATTCAAATAAATCCCACCGTAGGGCAACTCTGGCATGATTTAGCAGATTCTACTGCCTGCAGAATCTGTAGATTCTTTTTAGAAGCACATATTTTTACCCCTCGTTGTGTTGGTTTGTGTCTTAAAGTGTACAGAGTGACCACGCCCACCCATGTCTATTGGGGTGCATGTGCTACTGGGAAGCAGACAGCTTGTGCTACTCTCTTGGGCTGAGTGACCATGAGGCACGTTAACGATTTTGGGTACAAAGGTTGTTCTGTCATCTGTTGCATTTTTGCAGAATTTTTTTTTTTCTGTTAGCGTGTTGGCTACGGGGTGTCAAGGTCATGGAGGTTGTGATATCAGCAATGAATGCCCCACCCATTTTTCGTCGAATGAAGGAGCCTGAAGTGGCACTGGTGGAAGAGGGGTGAGGCTCAGTCAGTCGAGAAGCAACTGATTTATAAAAAAGGTGCTGTGGAGAGCACAGGCTTGTGCACACTATCTGAACAGACATCAGTAGACTGCTCGTATATTCTTGTGCCTGCTGTATTCTCATCACTTGCTTTGCATTGATATGATGCAGTAGGAAAACTGTTTCTGTACCTGGATTGTTCATGTTCTGTTATACCAGCATTTTGTAGAGTAGTGAGACATCGAATCCAAGTGAATTGGTTGCTAGCCTTAGTTTGTATAACATTCCAATTTGTTGGTATTGCTTTCGTTGCTTGGCCCTTGATGCTAAAAGTGAGAGAGTAGCAAAGTAAATCAGCATATCTCAGTAATCTAGAATGAAAACTGTAGGCCGTAAATGATTTCCTTCGTGGTGGGAAGTTTTGGTGGGACGTGTGTCTTCACTTCGCACCACTATCAGCTTTCAGAAAGAGGTGCCTCTGCTTGGTTACGTAGTCTAAAACTGTTTGCAGCTGTTTATTGCACTGGTGTAGAACTCTCTTTTTATTCGAATAAATTTATAAAAGACAAGTCATGTGAGCTCTGCCATGGTAAGTTGTGTCTAACAATGAAAATGAATCTCTCAATTAATTACCCTTCTTTTTTTCAGTCAGTCAAGTATTTATTTCAGCTTGTACGCACAAATTGGGGATGACGAGAAAAAAGCAGGGTATTGAACGCTGCTTGACGAGCCTTGCCATCCGTACATGTCGGCAGCAGGCACAAAGGAGAAGACAAGTGCTGCACGAAAGGTTCCATTTAATGAGAGTGCAGAAAAGAGCAGTTACCATTTGGTGTTCATATTAAACTGCTGTAGACTCTCGTTAAATGAAACCTGAAGGGACCGGGAAAATGTGTTTCGTCTAACATGTGTTTCGTTTACTGAGAGATAAACAAGGGTGGAGTATGAAATCAATTAAATCAGAGGCAGTTGTCAGTCCCTTTAAGCAGCAGTTCCGTTTAACAGATTTCTGTTTACTGAAAGTCTACTGTATATTAAATGACATCTTAGCTTGTATGAGAAGCATTTTGCTTACTATAGCCTGATTCTGTCACTTGCATTACATGATATCCTGTGAACTGTAGCCTTATTTTCGTTGCTAATAATGCAATTGTAGGCTCGGGCAGAAACGGGTGCCGAGGCAAGCGTCATCTATGTGCCGGCCCCTGGCGCCGCCAAGGCCATCTTAGAAGCCATGGAAGCTGAGGTTCCATTAGTGGTGTGTATCACTGAGGGAATCCCACAACAGGACATGGTGCGTGTCAAGAACGAGCTTATTCAACAGAGCAAGACACGCCTGGTGGGTCCAAACTGCCCTGGCATCATAAAGGTAAGCTTAGGCACACCAGTGTTATGTGCTGTTCAATTAGTACAATTACTATTGCTTTTAGCACACGTAGAGTAGCAGTTTGTAGAAGTAGCATTCTGTGCTGCAGGACATTATGTATTTAATTTCTATCACTTTGAAGAGAACCAATGGAAAATCAAACCTAGGAAACTGTAGGGGATGTTATTTGTGGTGTGGTGTAATTATTTTATAAACATGAAGAAATCAAAGTGTACAAAAAGATAATTTGCTGCTGGCAGCGACCGAACCTGCAACTTTCGAATAACCCGTCCGATGATCTATCAATTGAGCTAAGGTGACAGTCCTCTCGTCCTTTTTGTTTGTTATATCTGTGCACTTAACCTGGAAGTGTTAGTTCAAGACTTGCACTATGTTACCTCTATAGTGCAAGCAAACTGCGCGGGTAAGGGCTTTAAGAAAACTATATAGTTGTGAGCGCATCCAGAAAGCAGAGGCAGGTCCGAAACTTACAATCATCATTTGTCTTATCGCCAACAAAAGGGAAGCGGTTTTGGAAGTCTCTAAAATGGGAAACGCCACTACAGCGGCATCTTTTGTGTCAGTCACCACCAGCATGGAAACAGGCATAATTGCATACTGGGGAGCAATAAATGAGATAATAACCAGTTGGCCACGTTTTGAAAGATTCTAAACCAGAAAGCCATCGGTTTTGTGGGTGCAATAAGCGGGAAGTGGCCGAGGGACAAAACGAAACTAACTGATGCACCGCTGTAGTATAGCAAAAAAATAAAAGGCAGAGAGGCATTAGTACTAAGAAAAAAATATTTGTATTTCTGTATTGTGGCAGCACATTGCAGTAGCGATGCCCATATTAACCAATGGTCAGTCATTTGGGTATATGACATCATTTGGAGAAAGAAGAGGGAACAATTTCTGGCTGACTGAGAATTGATTGCAAAATCCAGGCCGCATGCTTTGCTACAATGTTTGGCTCATGTGTTCTCGGGAACCTCGACTAATGTTCGGCAGCATTTCCTGACCATGCTGGAAAAGTGTTGCAGTTCCCCTTTAAATGCCCAGATATACCTGATAAAGCAGACGGGAGGACGACCATCGTCACGGCTCAGTTGTCAGATAATCGAATGCATTATTCAAAAGTTGCAGGTTTGGTCCCTGTCGGCAACTAGTTGTCATATAGCTCACTTTAATTTTTAACTATTATATTATAATCAGGGGCGTAGCCAAAAATTTTGTTTGGGGGGGGGGAGGGGGGAAGCACTTTTTTGATTTCAAGTGGGACGTGAACCGGCATATGTGGTTGAGTGTCTCATTAATCCCTATATGCCATGGCAAAAAAAAAAATGGTGCGGGGGAAAGAGGCAGCATGGATCTGGTGTGCCACCCCCGCGCTATGCCACTGACCGTAATTGTACTGCAAATAAGGCCTCCTGTATTTTCTTTGACTTGATAACAAAAAGAAAACAAGTGCTTGAATGCCCCGTCTTTTGGCTATTGATAGTGCTTTCAAAGAAGGTTCATGGTGGCATGGTGTTGTCTCGGCCTCAATACATATTCCATGCCATCTGAGCTTTTTGCCTTGCATTATACAGGAGTGAAAGTGTTGCGTCATTCTGCGCCAGTCTAACCTGCTACACCTAAACGGCGATTTGCATGTGTATCACCAAATTTAGCCGAGTTTTAGTTTGTGGTCAGTGTTGGTTATCTTTTCTGCATCCAACAGTTTCTTTAGTTCTGTTGATACGATACGTTTGTATTCGTCTGTTGGATCACCTGGGAGGCGCCTGCTTTCCAGCCTCTGCGGCAATGCGCGGCGCCTCTCTTTCAACGACGAGATGTCGACAAGGCGCTGAGTAGTTAAAGGCTTAAACATCTTAAAAAAGCTCTTTTCCCCCCACACCGAAGCCCCAGAGCCTGGAGGTGCCGTCTGGTCGGGAACAATGCGTTAGTGAAAGGAAGGATACACAGACCGCAGACATCCTAAAGGTGAAAAGAAGAAAAGGAAGAGAGATGAAGGCGGAAGGGGAAGGAAGAGTGAAAGGGGCACCGGGGGAGTCCATCTTATATTCTCTTTTTCTTTTTTTTCTTCTTTCTTTCTTTTTTTCTTTTCTATATTTTCCCTTTTTCTTTCTCTCCCCCTCTGATTTAAGATTGTATAAAGCTGAGCACCAACAAACTGTACCCTCAATCCTGATAAAGGCCAGACTCTGGCTGAAATGTCGAAATAAACCACGTTGTGACTGCTCACGGGGGATCTACTTGACTACTTGCAACGGTGCGGCCACTCAACCACCATGCCTGCCTATTTATATATATATATATACATATATATCAATTTGGTGTCTTGATCAGCAATTAATGCTTAGTAAAAACCACTGAATTTGGAGTTTTTCGTGTTGATGAGAAAGCAAGGAGAAAATGAAAATGTTAATTAACAGTGATGTGTGATCGAAAAAATATGCTCCAAAACTAAATTTTGATGCTCCGAAATACGCTTTTTGGTGCTCAAGAGCTGCTCCAAAATGCCCCTTTTACTGCTCCAAAAGATTGAAGCACTCTTCCAACCCTGGTTATACCTTTTGGGCCAAAGGCCTCTGATGAAGAGCCTACATACCCCAAGTAGTTTGTGGCATGTTGCCTTATGCGTAGAATATAATAATTCGAAGCATCCTTGCCAGGGCACGCATTTCAACCTGATAGCTGGCTGGCTGAAAGAAGTCTTGCTGATTGCATAAGCCAGAAATTTCGTAAGTCTTAAGCCCCATGTAGAGCACATAACTAGCCACAGGCCACGCTTCGAAATGTTCAGAAGTTAGGGAACATGAAAATGCTTGATTGAAAGCAAGAATGCAGTAGTGCCGGTGTCTTCAGTCTGGGTCCTCATTGGCAGTTTGTCAATGCTGTACCACTATAGCAGTACGAGTTGCTGAGAGTTTGGTTGGAGTTGCAGTGTGGTAGGGGCCAGCTAGGCTAGCACTACCAGGGTATTCACGAGGTATTCGTCTAACCTACATATTGGAAGTAGCATGGAAGGGGCATTTTTAAAAGGCGATCGTGTGCTCGCATGCAAGTTATGCCATTGTAAGTATACTAAAGTCAGGGAATGCTTTTGGTCTCTGCAGAAAAGTAAGAAATATATATTATGAGTATAACGTGAAGTGAAGCAACTGAAAAGAATAATGTCCTCAGGATTCTACTTATTGTTGCAGACGTAAAATTACCATTAACAATAAATTTAACTCAACTACTCATCACTGCTCACATATTTGTTGCTCTTGGCAAAAAAAAAAAAAGTGGTGTCGTTCGTGCCATCAAGATTAATATGTAGGTAGCACTTAAACTCCTGCAACATTGTTGAAAACGGCACAGCCTAGCACACATTACTGATCTATAACGTAACTTCACCAGACTGATTCTCGCTTGATGCAACCTGATGGCATCACTTACTTGACAGTTGTCTTCAATACACTGTTTGTATTTTCTTAGTGCATCGTCTTTATTATTGGTAGAAACATAACCATCAGGCTGCATTGGCAGTCTTTCAGAACATTTACCAGATAAACTACCAGTTGACTACGAGCTATAAGTCGCGTGTGATATAGAACTTTGCGATAGCATTGCTCAGTGTATGTGCCCCATTAGCACTAATGAGTAATGAGTTTTTATTCGCAAACAAGAAATGTATTAAGATCTCAGATTATCACAGTATTTTTGTGATGTCGTGTGGTGACATCAGAAAGCTATCATCCTAACTCCTTTTCGCACATACTTCATCTACTGCTTTATTCCCAGAACATATGCACTGATTTGTCCAGCATGGGATGCAATAACTGTTTGGCGATGAAACGAGTTCAGAGAGGGCGGGAGAAAAATAAAGATAGAGAAAGTAATAGAGAGGGAAAGTGATAAGAAAAGAGAGCAAGCATACTTTAGTAGAAATCGCTGTTGGGTTAGTTGGTACATGTCTGAATTAAATAGTCGACTTGGTGCCAAATTCACTACCATACCGAAGAAATTCACTACCATACAGCACATGCGCAACCTGATCTGTACATCCTTACCTAATCATGCTATTGGACACATGCTCTTTAGATAACGTGCTTCCAACTAACACAGGTTGAGTGAAGTTTTGCTAGCACAATTAATACCCCGTTTTTTTATGTGGTAAGCCTCATGTTGTGCTTGTGTTGACGAGAAGTGGCTTTATAATAACCTGTTTCCTCAAGAAATAAACAGTTGTAAGTGAGTGCCCATCCTCTCTATGTGTTTTCTTCATCTGTGTGGTTGTGCACTTGGCACGAGGTTGACTATTTAATCCAGAGCAAGCATAGCCATGTATTGTATAGCATAGTAAATATAGCAATCTGTGAAAAAAAAAGGGGGGGGTAGTGAGGGTTAGGAGGAGACCAGTGCAACCAGCTTTGATGCTTCCTCAGTCTTCGTACCCGTAGTGCATATCTGCCCAGTATTTTGTAAAAAGCTAGATATTTTTTGCCCATTACATTTTTACAAAGGATAGCTGCGTTTGGATAGAATATAAATAGTCTGCTTCCACAGACCACAAGTACAGCTTCTTTTTTCGGATGTGTTTAACACATGCTGTTGGTGGTGTTACAGCCTGAGGAGTGCAAGATTGGTATCATGCCCGGCCATATTCACCAGAAGGGCAAAATTGGCATTGTGTCAAGATCGGGCACTTTGACCTATGAGGCGGTGCATCAGACAACACAAGTGGGCCTTGGCCAGTCACTGTGTGTTGGAATTGGTGGAGACCCCTTTAATGGGACCAACTTCATTGACTGCATCGACATCTTCTTGAAAGACCCAGATACAAAAGGTCAGTGGTGACTGTCCGTCTTCAAATGGTGCTCCTGAATAGTGTTTCTGCATGACAGTATTGAGTGCTTCTTAAACCATGCCTATCAAATGAATTTTATTTTTGAATTTTTTGGGCCAAGATGGTTGTGGTAAGTGTCAGTGAAACACGAGGTAGAAGCATAATACTCATTACCAGTAATGAAGGAGCCTTGAAAAGCTTTTGCGAGCAATCACATTCATATTACCGTATTTACTCGCATAATTTGCACACTTTTTTTCGTAATGTAGAGGCTCCAAGAAGGGGGTGCACAAATTACGTGGGGATTTTGCAAATGCATACGACATAATGTGTGTTAGTCCTAATGCACGCAGTATATGCACTTAAAATAATAAATTAAAGCACAAACAAAGTGTACTTGATAATTAAAAATAATTAGCGCATTCTTTAACCAGTCAGATCGGGTCATGTGCGGTCTAGTCGGAATCACTGATCGAGAGTTCCTATTGAGAATCATCGCCGCGGTCGCTGTCACCGCCTTCCCAAAGCGCATCGTCCTCGGTTTTGTCGAGCGCTTTCAAATTCCCCATTTTCTTGAAGCTCTTCTCGACAATGCTGGGAGAAACCAGGTCGCACAGCACAGGGATACTGAAGAGCCTAAGTGTTCGCATATAATTAAAAAGGCCTTCTTCAACAGCAGAGAACTTGTATGAGCAAGCATGCACTCTGCTTTCTCCCGTACCAATCTCACACGTTGAATTTCACGTGGTGATATTTACAGATGACGAAAATGTACAGGTGATAATGATATGTAAAGAGAATGAAGAGTCCTTCGCTTGTCACGCTCACATTAATTCCTTCGCGTGGTGGAAGCGGCTGCCTGGTCGCCTGAGAGTACTATAAAATGCGTCGCGTACAGTCGAAAACCGCAATAACGAAACCCCGCAAGTACGAAATCCCTGCGGCAACGAAATATTTCCGGATCCCCGGCGAACGTTCATAGAAGCCCATGTATTATGTATCTCGCGGCAACGAAATGTTTTTGGGCAGCGATCCTGCATTAACGAATTTTCTAGAAGGTGCGGGCCTTATTTTACCCTCCCGCCAAAGGTTAACTGTCGAAAACATGCTCGTATGTGTGTTATGCGCACTCAAAATTTGTAAACGTCTGCTTTTGCCGTGCTAGCGTGGGTACCGTCATGTTTGTTTACTTAAGGGGGGACGCGGCTTTGGGATTGCGAAAAATGGCAAAAAAATCGATTGTAAAATCGATTTTGTAAAATCAAGTTTTCAGTTTCTGGAACACTTTTTCTATCTGATTCCAAAATATTTACACTGAAAACCGCGCAGAAGTGCTTCGGAAAATTCATTTCATCCACCTAGGTAGCGTAGCTTTTTCTGGAAATCGCGAGAAAACAGCGATTTTCAAAAAAAATTATGGCTTCGCGATGGCGGGGTCGGGAGCCGGCTTCTTGGGCTCATCGGAAAGAGCATTTCTCCGTGTTCAACTTTCCCGCCTCAGCTGGCTCCTCCCTTCAAAAACAAGCGCACAAAAAACAAATGTTAGGTCGTTTTGAGGCTCTTGATTGGCTGTGGCCGCCATGTTGCCTCTGCGCGCCTCGCCATTGGCCTGATGCTCGCTCCAGGAGATAGTCGCCTGCTGCTTGTGCGTCGCGAGGACATGGTTCCCAAAAATTGCTACTTCGTGGCGTGTTCACGGCTCGATGATCACTTAAGATATAATTACGTTTTAGTTAGGAGCAGTAGGCGGATGCGCAATCAGGTTACTACGAACGTGGCCCGTCAGCGGAGTCGTATTTAGGCCTCACTCCGCCGAAAGCGAGACTGCGGGCAGGAACGACGCGCTAGCGCACTCGTGGCGACATGCTTCGTCGCAAGCAACGAAACTGTAAGCGGCGGCACAGTTGGATTACTACTAGTGGCCGCACTGGATGCACGATCAGATTACTATGAGCGCAGCACGTCATCGGAGTTGGCTTTAGCCCTAACTCCGCTGACAGCGAGACTGCGGGCAGGAACGACGCGCTAGCGCATCCAAAACAACCCGCGAGTTGTTTTGGATGCGCTGGACACCCTTCGCTCCTTCTTCGGCACACATGACGACAACGTAGCAATGGATCACTTTTTCTAGTGCGAAGGGAGAGCTTTGAAGTTGTTGCATGGCAAGGGTCGGCAAAGTAAGTTGACCGACTTCTGGCAATAAATTTTCGTTCTGCTGGCCGTATCACTGATTTCATGTCTCATACTCGTGGCAACGAAATTCTCGCGAAAACTAAATTTTTCGGTTTCCCCGGCGATTTCGTTATTGCGGGTTTCGACTGTATTAGGCTTTACACGAGATGCATGCACTATCTCTGTCCCTCAGCAACGATGATCAGGATTAGTGCTAAGAGGAGAAACGTGGTAATTGACAGGAGATGTCTGTTCGACCACCATGTATGGCCTAATAAAGCGACTGATGAATTTTTCACATAAGCCAGGGATGCGATGTGGATTCCATAGAAGAATTTCGTCACCAGGGTAAAAAATCGCAACACGGCGAGACGAGTCGTTGCGAAACTTTTGAGTGTCTTGAAATAGGCCGGTGTTAACACGGGCCAGGTAAAGCCCCTTAATATAGAGAAAGTAGCGACACTCTCCTCCATGTCCTCTTCAAAGTGTCTAATCCTCCTCTCCAAAGTGTCCAAACCTAGTCTATATCCTCTCCCAAACAGACACTGTGCGGGCGCCGGCCCTATAACCCGGCTCGTGCCACTTTCCTATCAAGAATGCTATGTCACGCTGATAAGATGCGCGATATTGTCGCGGCCCGAGAGGCGGGAGAGGAGTATGCGCGGCGCGACGGCTCGGTTAAAAGTATGGTGGTACTTTTCTATAAATATCCAGGGACTTTAGGGCCACGTGACGGCAGTGTGCGAGACGAGATTAAAATTCTTCAGAGAAAGGAGCTGTCGAGGGTGCAGGGGCCAAAAGGAAAGAGACGTGCAGAGCGAAACTCAGTGAGCGACTATGGACGCGAAAAAATGGAGAAAAGCCGGTAGTGCGTTGAGCAGCCTTATTGTAAGTGAATGTCACGAAGGGTAGGATTGCAGCCCAGTTCGTGTGGTTGGGGTGAATGTACATCGCGATCATGTGCGAGAGAGTCCCATGAAAGTGTTCAGTCAATCCATTGGTCTGCGGGTGGTAACTAGAAGTGGTCCTATAAACAATGTTCGAGGCACGCAAAACTTGGTCGACAATAGAAGAGAGAAAGACTTTGTCACATTCGTTCAGGAGAACGCGCGAGACTCCATGGGGCAAAAAGATGCGGCGAAGGAAGAAATAGACGACCTCAGTGGCAGTCCCAGATTGTATAGAAGCTGTTTGTGCGTAGCGGGTAGTAAGGTGGTCGACGGCTGTGACAATCCAATGATTCCCATTCGATAATATAGGAAGAGGGCCATACAAGTCGATTCCGCCGACTTCAAAAGGCAAGGCAGGACAAGGAAGAGGCTGTGGCAACAAGTGGGTACCCAGCACCTCCACCACTTATGAGGAACCGGTTCATTCAGCCAGGCTCGAGCTAAATCACACTGGTGATGATATTTACAGATGACGAAGATGAACAGGTGATGATGGTATATAAAGAGAATGAAGAGTCCTTCGATTGTCGTACTCGCAATATATTTATTGTATGCCATCGCAAAAGAACAGTAAAACCACTACGGATGGATGGCGATACACATAATTCGGAAATCAACCAAGTGTGCATTGCAGCGTGGACGCAGAGAACGAGAAGAACAGTTGGCGCGACAGGCACACGCATGCCTCGTAAGCAGAAAGAGAAGTTGCTCGGAGGATTTGAAGCTGAACGGTTGTGCTGCCCGCGATCTCAGACGCCAGCGTAGCGCTCGCCGACTGGTTCGCCCTCCGCAATCTTGTAACGCCATGCAGCTCGCTGTGTGGTGCCCCACCTTGAGCTTCTTCGACGGGATTACATCTTTCCAATCTCCTTTTTTTGTCGCTTGCCTGTCCTACTTATTTATATCTTTCCACTATTCCTTTTATCCCCCTTCCCCTACAAGGCACTGCGCCGTGTCAGTCATGAGGCAGACAGAGACTAGGTGCCTTTTTCCTCTTCTTAAGAATCACTCATTCATTCATTCATGCAGAAAGTTGTCCGTGCCGTGATGCGAGCGTATGTCTCATGGTAGAAATCGTAGAGATAAAGGCAGGGAGGAGGCACTTGAGCAATTCTGGCGGGTACGGTGTTCTAGGGACCTTAGTTTGGGAGAAGTTCTCAGAAAAAGGGGCTTCGCACTCGCAGTCCGTTTGATTGCGTTCGCCTGATCGGCGAGGAGCGCTCCCATTCGTCTTTTCGTGCGCAAGCCGGCGGGTCAGAGAGCATAAAATATGCAGGTAGATTTTTGTTTTGTAAAGCTGGAAAAGTAGTAGGGGTGCACAATTTATGCGAGTAAATACAGTCGGAACCCACGATAACGAAATCCCAAGGGAACGAAATTCTCACCGCAATGAAATATTTTCGGAGCACCGGCGAATGCCCATAGGAGTCAATGCATTCTGTAACTCGCGACTACGAAAAATATTCATACCGCAGTCTCTCATTAACGAAATTTCTGAAACACGAGTGTGCAAATAATCTACTCTCGCAGCATTTACATTCGAAAAGTGTTGAAATGCATTCATTCTACACTTAAATTGTGCAAAACTATCGCTAAGCGCACTTGAGAAGCAGCCACCATCATTATTTAGCAAAAAATGTAAAGCTGGCGACAATAATGATGATGATGGATTGCCGAAACACCTGCTCGTTATCGCGGACTAGGTACGTAGCCAAAGCCACAATCCTCATGAAGTGTAGTTCGTTGGCTTGGCTCTTTGCTTGGCTTTGTCGGCTTTGCACACACATGCTCGCGTGTGTGGAGCCATTTGTGGAGAGTTTGCTTGGTCGCTTGGTGCAATGTGAATCATGTGTTGCGATTGCTTCATCCGATTTCGCT